ACGCCCAAATGAACGCTTGTACACAGGACTGGTTGTGAGACCATTGACTGGCCAGGCCGAGTTGCTACAGGTAGCTGTTGTGAATCTGGAGCAACTTGGATCTGAAGAGCTGGACATAGGTGCGGTTCGACACAATATTCCATGACATTCTTGGTTGAAATCAATTCGACCTAGAGATTTGTGATCTTCCTGTAAACTGACTGTCCACTTGACAAAGCTATTTGCCATTTGGTTGTGGGTCGAAACCTGACTGTCCACTTCACGTTTCTTGCATACCCATCTTACCATGACCTCCTCGTATCGGGGCCAGGGGTGCATCATAAGGTTGGGAATCGTGTGCGCGAGAGTGGAGCCCCAAATCCATGGTTGACATCCCAGTACTTTGAGGGCATAGGGGGTAGTGCATTGAGCAAAACGCACCCATGGGATGTGAAAATGAACACATCGGGTCGTCCATGGTGTTCATTGTGTTGGAGTCCAGACGGTCCATGAAAAACCAGCCATTGGCCGATCACTGGCTCACAAGACCTGAGCATGGTTTAAATGGGTAGTGGAACAATCAACTCAACACCAATGGGTCACCCACTCCAATGACTCAGCACCATCACGAGCAAGGTCGGAGCGGCGTGGAGCCGCATCTCAGGCCTGTTGTTTAGTCGAGCCGAGCTTTTTGCCGGTTTTCGGGAGAGATGTTTGGCCGACGAAAGCGCTGGGAAGGTCGAAATTTCTGGGAGAGAGAGCAATTTCTTGGCAGGAGTCGAACCTGAGACAAAAACTGGAACCGCTAAAGGCTTCGTAGAGGGAAACACAGGACCATGTTGGGCGATTTGCTTGGGACCACCTTTCATGCCGAGCTGGGCAGGACATGTTGCTTTGACATGGCCATGAACATCCGTGAGGAAGTATAGAAGTAGGATCAGAGACAATTCATTGCGTGGGTGTTCACCTCACATCAAATGGTGTGACCACATTGCGTGCTGTGACGAAGGAGCCATGGTCCTTGGCTGCAGGTTCCTTTGCATTTGGTTTGCATCCAAAGCATGTTGAGCGCTGCACCCTATGCTAACTCTTGTCATTTGCCAGTAGAATAAGAACATCAAACTTTTTGCAATTGAAAAAGCACAGAAGCAAACCGTCAATCTCTTTTCCAATTGGTGGTAAACCGGTAAGTAAACCATGAAAAACTCACTAGGACATCTCTCTGGTTGTGAACGGATCAGTCCCGCCACTCGCCGATCTGGCCTTGGAGGCCTCAGTCTTCGAAACCTTGGCCACACGAGTGTGGCACCTGGGGACAAGGGAGACCGAGAACTGGTATGAACAGGAAGCAGTTGGCAGCAGTTCAACACCTTAGCAAAATATAGCAAAACTGTTTATTGTACAGTATATTAGAGCTCTTTGTTCCTTTGAACTGTGACATAATTCGGTTCATGCCCTATGTTGATGTGAATGAAGAGGGGTATTAATGAGGTTGATGTTGCGGGTGGTGGAACCAATGTGCCCTCTTCATCATCAAATAGGACAGAGAGGCATTACAGAGAGGCATTGAATGTTGCAACTGCCATCGGATCTTCCTTTCATAATTTTCGATTGCCCTTGGAGGTGAATCCTTGGGTAAAGGGAATTTTTGGTGCTTGGCTGGATCCCACTGCGGTGCCCGGATCATTGCCTCTTCTTGGACATGTTGCAGCTACAGTAGGAGCGGCTACAGTACAACGCCACTTAAAGCATTGTGATCCAGGAATCTTGTTGCAGAGAACTAGCTGAAAAAGGTGATTCTGAGAGAGCCCCGATTGTTCTGCAATGGATGGAGCTGATCTGCTCTTGCCTGAATGAGTCCCATGTGGGGAGTCTGCTTTTCAGACAGTTGCAGATACCTTGAGAGCTACAGCAACAAGCGCCTCAAGTTGAGAGCACCATCGCTCATGTCAGGTGGTTGAATTTGATGTTTCCAGAAGACACATTCCGGCCAGATTTGATGAGCTGATCGTTTATGAGCACCTGTGCAATCTTCGACAAACGACATGTTCAGCATCCAGAGGATCAACCTTTGCGAGCGCGTTGGGATTTGTCAAAGACATTCTCGGCACCCAGAGTCCACAAGCCTGCATCGATCCAGCGAGAGTCACAGGTGCGGCCTACCTTGGGAAGAGGCCGCTGGGACAAGCGCCGGCTTTGACTCGAGTGATGGTGTGCATTTTGCAGCTGGCTGCATTCAGAGAGAGAGAGAGAGAGAGAGAGACAGAGAGAGACTTATTTGCGGGCCTTAGCAGGTTTTTGTGTGGCATGCATTTATGGTCGCAGGAGAGTTTCTGGCCTGCATCGTTCGGTACATGTGCCTGTCATGGATGATTACTAGGAAGGCTCATTGATTCGCACGAAGACATTTCGATCAAAAGAAGAACGGCGCACTCTCCTGCTGTCGTCCCCATTGTTTGGTGTTGAGTGGTCGGAGGCTCTCTTTAGGACACAAGAGTATTGGGTCTTGAAGCAATTCCGACGGAGTCTGGTGCAGCCAATGGCAAGTCCGGAATCTTTCCAGCGTCTTCCACGTTGCACTTGACGATGTGCTCCTGTGCAACAACAGAAGTGACAGATGGTCCTGCTTGGAAAGGTTTTGCCAGCTGCAGATGTGGCAGCGTCGCAATTACTGAACTGTCAGAGGGACGCACTCGCGCCCCCACTTCGCATTTATGATGGAACTCTTGGAGAAGATCGAGCCCGAAAGCCAGTGGAAAGGCAGAGCGTGTGGGGGATGAACTTCGGTTCCATACATAGTTCGTCTATGTTCTACACCCCCCCTTGTTAGTGGGTCAGAGTGATGTCATCACTAAGCTGTAAATTTTCTGTTAAGCCTTTCTGGGAATGTTCTATCAAACAAACGGGGCCTTTGCTCGACAATTCTCCGACTGGCTCAGCGGACCGAGGTCTGCGCACCGGGTGAAGTGCTCCGCGCGACGTCGGGGAAACCCGTTTGGAGTCGGGTAGGAATCAGGAGTGGTGGGGGTGACACCAACGTGACATGGTCGCATTGGGTCGCCATGTGAATTGGAGGCTTTAAAACGTGGAGAGAACGGTTTTGCGTTTCAACCAAAACACATCAAGAACTCTCCCCCTCTCTCTGTCTCTCTCTCTCTCGCGCATTTTTTTGTTCTCCTTCCGTAGTGTCCTTGCACTTGCACCTTGCTACATAATTAATACGGAACCCGTTTGTGTTTCAGCGACTTTGCTCCTTGCCTTGCCTGGCGTACATTTGACAGAGCCAACTGAAACTTGAAACTGGAAGTTGATCCACCGCCCGGAGAAGCGGGTCTATTTGCATGAATTGGACGCACTTGCTAGCCAGCTGCGCCAGTTGCCCCTCTTGATCTCCGCAGCCCCGCATGCACCATAGCTAACCCCTCGTGAGCACAGGCCAGTCCACTTCAATCACGTGCGCGCAGGGAAACTCAAGACGGGCCTACAAAGACTGGACAGAGGGTAGATGTTCTGAACAGAGATTTTGGACAGCAGCTTATTGCAACCAGTCTGAACAGAAGAGAAGACACCTGAATTCTGTGCCCTGTGCTTAGGTCTCGTTGTTTTGGCCTTCATTGCATCAGAGGGCCAGTGTTCAAGAGGTGCTCGTGAGCCATGACACTCCAACCCAATCAATCCCATTTTCCTCACGAGAAACTTCCACAGAATTGAACCGATTCCACATGATTCCACAGGCTCCAAACTTCACAGACTATGTATGGATCGATTTGGAGTTTGCGCTTTGTTACTATTTTGGTTCCCAAAAAGAATCGGCTCCTTGGATTCCGAACGTCGGAGGTCCTGGCGAAGAGTCGCTGCGCCTTCGCGGTGCGCTGTCGCGTGGTGCTGCACCCGGAGAACACCGTGGCCACCTGGGCGGCCTGGCAGCGGCGGAGTGGGGTGGATACCACACCACCAAGACATGCACAGACCTCAAACCAGACTCACAGCCCTAATGGGGGACCCTGGGGGGGGGCTACCGGTAAGCCCCTGAGGATAGATCAATAACAATGCATCATCACCCTAAAAGAAGGACTTCCGAATCGACTTGTGGAGTGGGGGGTGGTCGGAGGAGGCACCTGACACCTGCCCATTTGACAAGCACTGTGGAACTTGGAAGGCTTTGTCCGCCTTGTTTGTTTGGGTGGAATTTGGAAGGGCTTTGAGAGTTTTGAGTTAATTTTTGCTCACACAAAGTTTAAAAAGAACACCACCCAAATATATCAACATATTTTAACTCACCTCTACATTGGCCAACTATATAGGCCCTAGGCAATTGAGAACCCCCAGCTTCATCTCAGGTGCTTTTGGCGGCGAAGGGGCGGATCTGACACCTGCGAGGGTTTCGGCGTGCCGGAGTGGAGTGGGGCACTCCAAAGTCCGTCTTTGTACAGAGGGGTAGACGGCAGCATGGCAACAAAAACAGACATGCCCCACTCTCGCGCGCGCACACACGAAGGAGGTTCAGCAGCCGAAGATGACACATCAATTCCACGGATGATGATTTCTGTTCTGAACATGCTCCGCATCAACCAGTCCATCTGAAGCTTGTCTCATTCATGCAGTTTTCTCAGCTGTTTGCCAAGGAGTCGATCTTGTCATCATGACTTACTGTATGATGACTTGTGACTGTGTTCGATTACATGCAGTTACAAACCTTCATCATTAGATTTGCCAATTGGGCTTGGGGATTGAACAAACAGGGATCTCCACAGGTCTTTTCGAGAGAGGGCTCAGGGCAGGTCTTTCACTGCGATCCGGACGGCACTGGCTCCGTGAAGGTGGCCCGCATGGTGCGACGGAAGCATCACATTGCTGGGGGACTCGATTTGCATCCCATGCTTGCCTCCCAAAAGCATTGTGTTGGGGTGTCCCCTTGAAGCAGATCCGGGATGCTCCGAGCTGACATCCCTTTCCACCATGACCAGCAAGAAGCTATAGTTCAAAAGTGTATATGATGTCCGAAAGGCAGGGTGTTGTTGGTGTGTTCAGTCTTTTTCCAACCCACGTTCCAGTACAAAAAGCCCAGACGTCCGTGGCACAACTGACTTGAGCCATGGATGAACTCTACAGCATTGGTCAGAAAGTGGCGCAGGCCGGTCACAGAGCACCGCGTGGGGAGGTCGGTTGCCAGGTTTGCTGCGGTTGGCTATTGGATTCAACTGTCTCTTTTGCTCATGCTGGGAAAAGAGACTTGAAAACGAGTTTGGACTGCAGATAAGGCTTTATTCACTGCCCAAATCCCTGTGAACACATCATTTTGTTGTTTTTTCCTTCCCCAAACAGATTTAGGGCTTGAGGTCTGTCCCAATTGAATGTCGGTCCGAGCCCGCAACTGCACGTGAGGTTGCGCGGGTTTGGGTGATTTGTTTGTTGGCTTTGCGCAAAGGTTCTCAGGTCCAATTTAGGTTGGATTTACGGTTGCGAGTAAAGGTCTCAAAGGAAGCTTTCTGAATTCCAAGTGAAGTGAAGCTTTCCAGGTGGTGATTATTCTCAGCTGTTGGAACTTGTTGCGTAGCATGGTTAGTTACGCTGATTCCGGAGGTTGCGTGTTTGACATGTTGGACACGTTGCCCATCTCTTCCCTTTCGAGGGTGGCCAGCTCGATGGCTTGGGCGATCCAGAGCAGCTGGCCAAGCTTCTGGGAGGAGATGATGTGACATCGCTACGAACGGAGCGATCGGACGCTACGAACAGGGCTCCTGGCCTTACTACGAACGGAGCAAGAAGCTACTAGGAACAATACATATCATATCCGTTAATTACAAATTAGACGATCACACCAGTACTCTGTTACGCGGGAGAGGCGAACCAGATGAGGAGACACTTTCCAACAAAATGCCAATGGACAGAACCCACCACTTTCTGGATAAACGGCTTTATCCGATTATCCTTTGTTGTAATTCTTGTTGTTGTTTATAGTTTATCCTTCCAAATTATTTGTTTCTTCATCCTTTGCTCTTTGATGCTATAATGACTGAGTCTTGTTGAGAAAGAACACCCTTGCAACCAATTGCCGTGCAGGAGCGAACATGGAGGAGTACTTGCAGAGCTACGAGAAGATGCTGCAAGAAGGTTCCACCCAGCCGAGACCGCTTCACACGGGCAAGAGCACCCAAAGTAAGGCAACCGCCTCAACCCAGTTCGTTTTCCCACCGATTTCTCCATTGAAAACATGGGAGTGGGCCAGTTGGGATTTTCTCATTTGTTGTTTGCCACGGGAGCAGCAAGTATCAAATGCAGCATCCATATCGACTGACGTACAGTAGCTGTTTTTGTATGCTCCATTTTGGGGCGCCTTCCTTTTCATGGCGCAAAACGCGGCTGTCAGGCGTTGCTCCTGACCTGGGTGGCCCGGTCTTGGATCAGGCCGAAGCTGCCTCGCTGGCTGCTTCTGCCCATCACGATCTCGTCAGAACTGCTCCCAAGGAATGCCGATGACCACCATGATGTACACACCAAAAATGCAGAATGAATAGATTTCTCGTAGTTGATTTGTTCAGCAGTGTGTAAGCAGTGTGTAGCGCACCCCCCCACACTACTTCTTTTTGTCCCTGGGCATTGCTGTAGTCCAGTGAGGCCAGTAGGATGTTTGGCGAGAATCCGCAAGACATCACATTGATCACTTTGCAAAGGGCCGATCACTATTGTATGCTGGATACTGTTTTTTTTAAATCAAGAACCACCTGTGAACATTAGAAGACTTTGTTTTTTTGAACCCCCTGCACGCATAAACACCCGCCTGCCTTCAGCTGCTAGCGTTTCTTGCTCCGCCGGGGAAGGTTGACCATGAGGGTGGCATCACCACTAGACCGGAGCCTGGATTCGTCAGAGCCTCCGTGGTCCGAGGGGCAGGGACAGACATGGCGCAACCGATCATTGGACCCCTCAAGACCACAAGGCAGTGATGCTTTGGTTTCGGAACATCAGTGAACCATTGGGACACACCCATTGCCAACACAGTGAAGTGGGTGAAGGCGTGGTGACAATTTGGTGAGGTTGAAGAGGTACTCAGTCAATGGAGCGATTCTATTTCTTGTTTGACAAAGCCATGTTGAGCAATGCTTTGGCCACAGGCATGAAGACGGAAGGAAGACGATTGAACGGGTGACGGAAAGCGCTGTAGCGCTTGGAAGTATTACCGTGAGGGAGGGGGGTGGAGGGGGGCAACGCTGATGACGGAAAGCGCTGGAACAGCGCAGGGAGTTGGTGTCGCGAAGCGGGAGGGGGGGGGGGGGGGGGGGCCATGCGCGCGGGAAATGCGAAATACGATTTGCAGAATGTTATGCTAATGATGCTTGTTCGGCGAGCAGCTTTCTTCTGCAAATCTTTTTTCACCTAACAGGGCATGTGTTTTGCGGGCAAAAAATGGAACGTGGCGAGGTTTGGGGGTGTTGAGTCGTGCTGGCTGGCATTGGTGGGGGAGGAGGCATGGCGGTCATGAGGTCGCGTTGTGGCACCGCGAAGCGCTAAAGGGGCGGGGGGCGGGCATGCGTGTTGGAAATGCGAAATATGATTGCGCGGTGAGGTGTGTTTGTGGGTCCTGACAATGGTACGTTTGGGACCTACAGGGGATCCGTCTTTAAGTGGAGCTGGGGCGTTCAATCGTGCTGGCCGGCATTGGATGAGAGGAGGCATGGCGGTCATGAGGTCGTGTTGCGCCTAGGAAGAGGCGATGTTGGGGCCCATTGGATGTCGTGTGGAGCTATGTTGGGGGAGTGTAGGAGTGTATCGAGGCGCATGTTGAGGTTCTGTTGGGGTTCAATGGGTCTTGAGAGGTTTCGTTAACTTGCGGACGCACGTCGATGGGGCACCTGTCGGTCCCTGATGGGGCGAGGCGCAAGTGCTAGTTGCGGTTGTCGCGTGAGGATATGTTGGGCGGTTGCAGCAGTGGTTGTTGAGGCAAGGGTGCTTTTATACTAGGCTTGTGTTCCACCCTGTTTGGGGCCCAGTGGGTGTGATGTCACATTATAGCTCATGCTTCCTAATTTCTGTTGCTGTGTTGTCGGTCTTCATTATTTACATTTTAATACGTTGGAAACTCAGTCGTGCACTCTGCCGGTCTCGCTCCGCCTCCGGCTCAAACTCCTGAACATTTCCGATGCCTTTTCTGTTGGCCTCTTTTCTATAGGCCTGGACTGGAGTTCTGACAGGACGTGCTGGTAGGGTGGTATGTTTTCTAGGTGGTGCGTTTGTATCTCACTTAGCGCGGGTGTTACGTACCATCGTTGACTTTTTTGCAGTCCTGCGCTTTCTCGCCATCGTTCTTTTCAGGAGACACGGGGATGCATACCGAAAACCCCACTTCGATATTCATGGGGCATTATCATCCTTGCTTAGGCTGGGCTGTCATAAAATGGACTAGTGACTACAATGACACAATGACACTCCACGCTCTGGCAGGTCACGTCTCCCTACTCCAATGATTGGCGGTCAGGCCGGGAACAGGCTGCCGAAGACACGTGAGATTTCGTGGGTGGTAGGTTTTCTGGGTGGTGCGCTTGTGTCTCACCTAGCGCAGAGCGCGGGTGTCACTTATGGTTGCCATTCTGTCCTATTGCGGAGGCGTGACCGTCGTCTCTGCTTGGTTGCTCGCGCGTGGTTGCTGTGGTTCATGTTTGGAGTACTATTTGCACCTTGCTTATGCTGGTTTGCCATAAAATGAACTACTCTGACACTCCACGCTCTGGCAGGTCACGTTCCTACACAAAATCCGTCTTTAAATGGAGCATGGCGAGGTTTTGGGGCGTTCAATCGTGCTGGCCGGCATTGGATGGGAGGAGGCATGGCGGTCATGAGGTCGTGTTGCGCCTAGGAAGGGGGGGTGTTGGGGCCCATTGGGGCCCAGTGGGTGTGATGTCACATTATAGCTCATGCTTCCTAATTTCTATTGCTGTGTTGTCGGTCTTCATTATTTACATTTTTAATACGTTGGAAGCTCAGTCGTGCGCTCTGCCGGTCTCGCTCCGCCTTTGGCTCAGACTCCTGAAAATTTCCGATGCCTTTTCTGTTGGCCTCTTTTCTATAGGCCTGGACTGGAGTTCTGACAGGACGCGCTGGTAGGGTGGTATGTTTTCTAGGTGGTGCGTTTGTATCTCACTTAGCGCAGAGCGCGGGTGTTACGTGCCATCGTTGACTTTTTTGCAGTCCTGCACTTTCTCGCCATCGTTCTTTTCAGGAGACACGGGGACGCACACCGAAAACCCCACTTCGATATTCATGGGGCATTATCATCCTTGCTTAGGCTGTGTTGTCATAAAATGGACTAGTGACTACAATGACACTCCACGCTCTGGCAGGTCACGTCTCTCTACTCCAATGATTGACTGGCGGTCAGGCTGGGAACAGGCTGCCGAAGACACGGGTGGTGCGTTTGTGTCTCACCTAGCGCAGAGCGCGGGTGTCACTTATGGTTGCCGTTCTGTCCTATCGCGGAGGCGTGACTGTCGTCTCTGCTTGGTTGCTCGCACGTGGTTGCTGTGGTTCACGTTTGGAGTACTATTTGCACCTTGCTTATGCTGGTTTGCCATAAGATGAACTACTCTGACACTCCACGCTCTGGTTTGCTCATGCACGAACCTATGTAGGAAATATGTCATAATGTGGGAATATCGAGTCCGTGTCTCCGCTATTGAGGAACGCTGTCGGCGGCACGCACTATGGTGTGGTTTTCTGCAAGAAATCATCAAGCCCACGCCTGGTGGACCTTATCCGCCAGTTCCAGGAACAGCTGATCAACAGTGGTGTGATCACGTTGAATCGCCTATTGAAACCTCTTGTGAATTACGACGTGTTGACCTGCGTGAACTTCGATGACCCTGAAACATGGAGCCATGGGAAAGGTGAATGGGAGATGGATTTGTAGTGCTACAAGAGATCTAGATAGATAGCATATGGTAACATATACAGGTATCCATATATCAGCTTCCATGCCAACATGTATATAGACACTAGGAGGGGCGCGCGCTTGGTGAGACGCTGCTGGGTTCGTTCCTTTCCCAGCGCATCAAGTTTTTTCCAGGCCATTCCCATAGCGTGCTGCCTTCCACAGCAATGACGGCGCTTACAGGACGGAGGCAGCGCAGGGAAGACGTTGGCTGACTGTTTGACCGCGAGTGCCACAGGGAAAACGGGTTCTGAGGTCAATGCATTTTATGTGAACCTGAAGGTCCAATATGTTCTGGATATACAGGCCATGCGTTGCTAGTCTACATTGCAAGCTCCAAAGAATGGCGTTAGCCTATGTTAGCCTTCATATTTGTGTTTTGTCTTGCGCAGAGTGCTGGACATGCGTCATGTAGCTGGTATTTGAATTTGTGAGTCACAGCTTTTCATGGCCACGATAGTCATCCCACGATGCTTTTTTGGCACCTCACTCATCTACAAACTCTTGGCAGGTACAGCTTTGCTCTACACGCAGCTTCCACACCGTCAGGGCAGTATATCTGAATGGGACGGGTGTATTTCAGTGTGAAGTTGAAGGGGCGTGAATGATCTCTCACTCTATAGAGGTGCCACCATCTGGGCCCTGCAAGTTCAAGGAGTTTACAACCATGAGCTATTCTTTTCCATCGTTGACTTTTTTGCAGTCCTTCACTTCCCCGCCGTCGTTCTTCTAGGAGCCACTGGGATGCATACCGAAAACCCCCTTCGATATCCGCGGGGCATGATCATCCTAGCTTATGCTGCTTTGTCATAGAAGGGACTCAACGACACTCCACGCTCTGGCAGGGTACGTTCACCCTTGCTCCAATGCGTTTCAATTGACGACCAGCAGCCAGGGCGGGAAGAGGCTGCCGAAGACACGTGACCTTTCCTGGGTGGTTTGTTAGCGCAGAGCGCGGGTGTCACTTATGGTTGCCATTCTTTTCCATCGTTTACTTTTTTGCAGTCCTTTTCAGGAGCCACTGGAATGCATACCGACAACCCCACTTTGATATCCACGGGGCATTCTTATCCTTGCTTATGCTATCTTATGCTGGTTTGTCATAAAATGGTATACAATGACACTCCACGCTCTGGCAGGTCACGTTCTCGCTTACTCCAATGCGCTTGAATTGACCAGCCGCGGCGAGGCCGAGAACCGGCTGTTGTGATGTGTCGTCAGAGGTCGGGGTTTCGTTGAAGGCACGTGCCTATACTCGATGGTGGTTTCATGACCGGATGTTCTAAACATAAATCTGGGACGAGGTACTGATGCATCGCGCATCGAGTTTTTCTAGATTTGACCACGCTGGGGTTCGTGCTCGTAACAATGAGACCTACATGCCATATGTATTGTCCAGTCCGGCGCGTCGAGCGGCAATGGCTGGTGAGCCGTCTCCGTGCCTACAAGTTCAAGTGGCTCTGCCGAGTGGACAAGGAACGTGCCTGGAAGTGCCAGCTTGCTCTACGGTACAGGATTTGCTCGCATCCTCCCAAAGACGTCTCAACGCCGGCTTCCTGCAGCTTGTTACGTCCCAGGGCCAACCTTTGTGTGATCCAGACTTACTTTGCGCACCGTCGGTTTGCGGTATGGAGATCCTATTTGCGCAGTTGTCCGGCAGATCAACATTGCGGCGACAAGAGCTGCATTTGCTCTCTGGTGCAGTGGGGGCAACACAGTCGTTACATGGGGTGATCCTCGATGTGGGGGTGATAGCTCGGAAGTTCAAGCTCGATTCAAACATGTCCAACACATTCGCTGCAGTCCTTCAAGATGGGTCAGTAGTGACTTGGGGCGATGCGGCCTGGGGCGAGGATAGTTCGGCCGTGCAAGGGCAACTCCGACAGGTATTGCAGATTCAGGCCACCCAGGGGGCCAGCTCGGATCCTCCACCTCCACGTG